GAAAAATGACTTAAAGTAAAGTACAAGACTCATATGAAAGATGAACATTTTCTTCTAGAACAATCATGAAACGACTTGCTAGTTCTTTATACAAATGTTTGTATGGGTTCCTATAAATAACGATTATGTTATTCATATGTATTGTTTTGATCCACGTCAAATCACAGATAAAATATACAAATATGATTTTGTTAAATGTGATATATATCGATTGAAATTTTTCATTGGAACAATTTAAATTCTCAATACTTTTTTAATTAATTAAGAAAAGTATGCATTATCATATTAAAACTTTATATCGTGAATGATAGATCTCTTTATACCTTTTTTCATCCTATTTTAAATATTCATGTTTTAACTTATTGAAAAATACCTGAAAATGTTCTCAAATTCAAAAACAAGTATGAAATATTCATTGTTTTTATCGAGAATTTCAAAAAGCAGCCCATCCATTAGCTCAAGATAATAATGTACGTATAAAAGACATGTGGACATCAACATTATATCATCCTGATGATTTATCATATAACAATCCAAAAGTGTATGTTATTTATATATTTCTCTTATTCGTATTCAATGAGATGATTTTATTCATTCATTAGTTTTACGGATGTCTTTACACAATTTCGAGTAACACTTGAAAAACAAAATATTCGAGTACGACGTTTGATCAATATTCCGAGTACATTTAAATCATTACCAAATGATTCTATTATAACATTAATACCAAATTTAACAGATTTTGGGTATTCAAGTAAGATATATTGATTAACATTTATTTATTGAATATTTATTTTGTATTTCTAGATGTAATTATAAATCCTAATAGTGTATTTCCCTTTGAAGGTGGTGAATTATCTGGACTTACTCATCTACAAAAATATATTTGGGAAAAAAATTTAGCTCCATCTTATAAACAAACACGAAATAGTTTAACTGGTTCAGAAAATTCAACAAAATTTTCTCCATGGTTTGATCCTATTTCTTTACAATCATTAATATATATATAAATAATATGTATTATTTATAACTTAAATCTTTTGTAAGATAACTTGCAACATGTTGTCTTCCTCTATTTGACATCCAACCAGTAGCCATAATCTCACGCATATTAGCATCAACAAAT